CACCCTACAGTCACCTATCGCTCGATCCAACCGAAGAAACCAACCCACTGTCGCCTACTGAAATCCAGGAATATCAACAGAAACTGGGCTGCCTACTCTTTGCCGCCGTTACGTGCCGACCGGACTTATCCTACAGCGCCAGTCAACTAGCGACCTACCTCAAGCGCCCAGAACAACGTCACCTCAAGGAACTCAACCGTGCCCTTCTCTACTTCATCTCGACGCCAACAGTTGGCTTAACATATCACAAGAACACGACGACCGACCTAAAACTACTCGGCTACGTCGACGCTGATCATGCTGCTGATCGTGTCGATCGTCGCTCTCGCACCGGCTACATCTACCGTCTTGAGCCCGTCGGAACTATCTCCTGGCAATCAAGTAAGCAGGAACTCGTCGCACTATCATCTGCTGAAGCAGAGTATATTGCTCTCTGCACTGCTACCAAGGAGGGCCTGTACCTGCGCGAACTGCTGGAAGAAGCGAAAATTGCGAAAGTACCCAGCTTCTCGCTTTTTAGCGACAACCAGTCCGCGATACGGATCGCGAACAAGAATGGCTTCGCCAACAGAACCAAGCATATCGCACTGCGATACTTCTTCGTGAAAGACGAAATCGAGAAAGGAAAACTCCAGCTGGATTACTGCCCGACCACCGAGATGGCAGCAGATTATCTCACCAAGAAGCTACCAAAGGGGAAATTCGAGTACTGCATGCTGCTCACCGGATTGGACCACGTCACCGAAGCTGACCACGTCGACACTCCAGAAACGAAGGGGAGTGTTGGGAAAATAAACGCATGACTTAGTGCGTTTCTGTAGTATCGAACCTCACCCGATACTGAAGCACAACAAAAGGAGTACGAAGTCGAAAAGGCGCGTACCACATCAAACCGCAACTAGAGGTTGCGAGCTGTAACCGCCTGGAGGTTACGTAACAGCAAGCGACGCTTCAGTGAACAGTAACCACCTCGATAGTCAAAGCGCTACGCGTCTCGATAAACATAACCGTTCCTTGTAATCTATCTTTTCTATATATTCCTGTATGCCCTTTACTTTAATCAATTACTTGTTCTCACATACCAGCACAAGTACATTCACTCAAGACTTCCGCTGTGCTACTCTAGCACTTACTAGCCTATTCTCTGCAAAGATCCTAAGGCTGAAATTCTCAGCCCAACAGCAGTGTAATTTACCCTTCTATACTGATTACAAGGGTGAATTTTTGGGTCTACACTGATGTGCTGGGGTAATTTTTTGGTGAGTTAGTGTTACACTGATCTGTAAGTGTAATGATTTAGGCCACACTGATGCTCTGGGGTAATTTTTCCCTTAGCGAAGATTACCCTGAAGAGCGTACAGGGACTCCCCCCCCCCCTCGGAAACTCTACTTATTGAGAAGAAGTTTCCTAGAACTTTCGTAGCGATACACCCACTTTCGTAATGATGCACTACGACGCCAGCACACGTGAGTACTGACAACCGACACCGTGTCACTCCGTGTCTGCTTGCAACCTACCCGTTACTGTAGAGGCGATGCAACCTGATTGGTCGAAGCTGCACTCTCTGCAAGAACGTCAACTTTCTTGACTCGGAAATTTGGGACTCGAGGTTTCCGAACACACTCGAAATTTGCTGACTTGGCGAAAAATACAAGTGTTGCAGCGAAACCAGACAAGCCACTGCGCTCGACTTTTGAGTTCACGTCACAATTCCCACCCACCAGCGCCCAACTTACGATAGTAATCGTGCGCGATTTGGGCCTCGAGCTTGATTGCAGCCAGCACATATTGAGCAGCCTAAAGTACAATCAGGATAAAAAATATACCTACACTGATACCTCTGGGTAAAGTTTTCAAAACTTCAAGTTACACTGATCCATCAGTGTTTCCAAAAAGGGCACACTGCTCAGAAGGGTTTTGAAAATGTCTACACTGCTAATCGTGAGTAGGCAAAATCCAAACCTAAGCCCTGCTGCTGACTCCGTTAAAACTCTTCTCATTAAAACACCCCCGTAAAATCTTGGTCGCCTGCAGGTTGTCCCACGAAAGAACCGGTGTTTCTAGCGTGCCCACCCGTCGCCATTTTTCTCTCCGTGGTTAACCACACTAGCAACCCACCAACATGGGGGTGCTTTTACGTGCGGAACCCAGAGTCATGGGTCTACCGGGACCGAATTTCACGGAACCTAGCCCGCATCAACAGCGCAGATCTCGCCGAAGAATTTCCCCAGGTGTCATCGAAGTACACCGTAAAACGCAGAAACAGCTGGCGAGCAGACGTTCACCAGTCTCCCACCGTAGGAAAGAACCCCGAAAATCATGGTTGTTGAAGCAGTCCCGAAGTATTTTCCGCCGCGTAACCCCGACGTTTCCGCCATTGACCCTGGTACTCCGACGTTCACCCGTCTTCGCACCCGTCGAAATTACTTAGCGAATCCCATGTATCCTTGGCGATACACCGCTCGCCGCGCCTCTATGTCATTATATCAAACCCTTTCGGGGGTCTACCGAATAGACTCCGAAATTCGCGGTAGATTGGTGTACGAGCTCCACCTTTCACTCTGGAGATCTGCTAGAGCACCCACAACTTTCCCTCCATTTTTTTTTTTTTTTTTTTTTTTTGGTCTCCGCCCCCCGACAATTTCGCTTGCCGCCGTTCACCCAGCGTCCGCTTTTGTCGGATGAGGCATAACTCCGTGTTGCCCGCGATTTTTCTGACATTCGGTGAAAGCGCGAATGCTATCGTAACCGGATCAGGTTTATCGGATCAAACCGTCGGGCCGGCCGCTTCGTTGCCCACCGCGTCTATCGCTTTAAAACTCCACAGCTTCGGAACCCCTTCTTCGCCGCTACACCGTCGTCGGGTAGACCGTTGAAGTTGGAGGAACCCTGACAGCTGCACCAATTTCTTCATCTCCGATTTTTTCGGCGGGGTAACTGCTGCCGATGGTCCGGTTTTGTCGGTGCTGAACAGTGTCTCAATCTTGAAAATTTTTGTACGCCCAGCTGTCGAACTGGCGCAATACCCGCGCTTTTGAGCCAGTACAGGGCTAAACACAGGGCCCCACCTTTGGATCCAGTGGCTCTTTGGTCTTACAACTTGCCTTCGAGGCCTTCTGGGCGTGGGGTATGCGAAACGTCGGTGGACTTTGGCCGGTAGGGAGCTCCTTCTGCTACCGCCGCTTAGCCGCGAAACCCGGCATCAGCAAAAAGTCGTCGCAGTAGGTCGTTTTCTTCCCCCCTGAAGCTCGGAATCCGTTCTCTCGCCAGACCCGTATTTATCGCAACTCCGTATATTGTAGCCGGTAGACCAGGCAAAATTTGCGTGTCTAGACGCTGCGATAAACCGTTGTCCTCGTCGGTGTACTGCCCCGTCTGCGACACAACTTCCCTTGATCAGGGGGAATCTGTGCCGCTTGAAGTACAGTGTCGGCTGTTGCTGTTGCTCCGAAAAATTCGGCCGACCTTGTTGCAGGCGCAGAACTGACCCTAATGTTGACAGTCTAGTCGTAGGCGGCCTTTCCCGAACTTTTCGGTGGTTTAAAAAACGACTTCCATCCCACATTGTGCCGCTCCTGCCGAAAACGCCAATGACGACACCCTCCTGCAGCCACACCGGCCACACCCGGGCGGGACGACGGTAGACCCCCGCTTTCTTCGGGCAGTCTCCACGCCGTCTCTCCTCGCCGTTGCGTTTTCCGACGCAAATCACCATGCGCCTGGCCTGCCCGGCCAGCTGTCGTTTCACACGTGAAGCCACCCGAAATCTTCGCGCACAGTGACGACGATCACCACGTGCCGAAGACTCCGAATTTCTCGTGCGCAATGTGACGAAATCGCCCGACGCCACTTGCCGCACGCATTAACTCCCGATTTTGTCGCGCGTTGGTGCCGACCACGTGCCGACGCAACTCGCCCAAGTCTTTTTTCCGAAAATGTCGCGCGCAGTTGTCGACCACGTGCCGACGCCACCCGTCAATCTCAGGCGTGCAGTGACGACGCTTCCTTCGACGTCAGCTGCCACACAGTGTTAACTCGGACATTGACGAAAATGCCATGCAACTAACTTACGCCATAAATGCGACGACAGCAAAAGCTGTCCGCCACCCGGGGGGAGGGAGGCCACGGTCCATCGCGACCGTCGAGAGCAAGGATCCGTCGGTGCAGTAGGAGCGCCCGTAAAAACATGGCCGCTAGGAGCAACTATCCGTTCTCCTAGCCGGCTACTGCGCTGCTCCTGTCACCACGGCATCCTTCCCTGTCCCCCCCCCCCCCGAGGGGTAATACACTCTAAAATACGGGGAACCTAGGAACTTAGGCTCTGATACCAAGTGTTATGAGTTGTACTAAGAAGAGTGCGCGGAAGACTTCATAAAGAAGGCGTGATTACAGAATGACGAAACAATGAAGAAAGCGAGAATATATAGGGCGAAAACTAGCTAGGCGAGAACCTCTAGATGTGCGTGGCTCGGAAATGTCGCGATTGGTGCGGGGCGACTCGGCAGTGGTTCGGGCCGAAGTGTAGGCCGAACCTTGAGAGTGCCCCGAAGTGCTCGGGGCTGTGCGCCCTAGGAGCAGACTCCGTAATGAATAAGTCATATTCATTACAAGCCAAGTGGTTGATGTAACAGGTGTGCAGTCATTTGTGACACCTGACCGAAAGAATAGAGGGTTTATAGTCATTTGTTTCTTTAGTGAAATAGGAATCAGTTGCAGAGAACTCACGTGGTTCATTTGATTAATTGAAATGTGGTTGGAATTTCCGTTTAAAATACCGTATGCGAGTATTGCACAGGAAAATATGTCCGCTGCGAGATCGGGCTCCCCATGAGACGTGTACTTTGCATGAACGAAAAATGACAGAAAAACTGGACATTCTTAATTAATATGCCCTTCAAGGTTTCACAACAAATTCACCTACGGAAACCAAAAGAACGAAACCAGAATAGAAACATGGTACAGTGTAGTTAATACGGAAAAGGTAAATGGAGTAACCAGATTACAAATATGTAACCTGGACAGCGTTCGCGGCACGAGGAGCGCATGCAGTGGGGCAGTCGAGCACAACATTGCACTCATTCCTCCAAGAGATCGGCTTCGAACCCTTGCCGCACAGGCCAACGGGGCAAGTCCTCCTGCAGCAGCGATATGCCTGGGGTGCCTTCTTAGTGACGGGAACACCCTCGACCTTAAGGCAAGTGAAAGCGGGCTCTTTTTTGTCGCAGACCGTGTTGAACTGCTTGGCGGTGCACGCCTTACCGGCCTGCGAATGACAGTATGACGATGGAAAGGTCAGAACTGAAAGTGCTGTGCAGCAAGCAAACTCGTCAGAACTGACGAGGGAAGAGAAAGTACTTACAATCTTGTTGGTGAGGCAGCGACCTGTTGTGTAATTGCAGGCGCTAGCGGGCATCTTCTTCCTGCACGATTAAATCACGCACGAGACGATGCATGTAAGAAATGAAAACCCAACCGCAAGATCTGGCTTTAAACGAAGCATGTGAGGACGTCAGATCGAGCTACGCTTTGTTAAGAGGCATTTCACAATCGGGTACATCAGCAGAAAAGACGGAGCTGTCGCACAAACGGCTATTTGATGGACTAAACGGGAGGTGTTAGCTAAGTCTGTCGTACAGGTCGTAAGCAGCGCAGTCGTCACAGGTGTTGGTATCGGGGATAATGCTCTGCAGCGTCTTGCATGTGGCGTAGAGGCCGCAAAGCTTGCTCTTTCTGTCCGGGCACTTGTCCTTGGGCAGACACGCGTTCCTACGAATCTGCCCGCTAGCGAACTGCGCCGAGACCAATACGATGAGGAGCGAAACCAGGAGGACGCGTGTGCTTGCCATGGCTGCCAAGAATGGAACTAGGGTTTGTCCCACAATATGATAAGACGGAGAATGGAGTTGAGGCACCTGTCGAAAATGGTAATTGGCTTGACGTTAAGGGTATCACTACTGGGGTGGTTGTGTGTAGTTCTAGATCCAGACGGAAAATGAGACGATGTTTTGAGAGCACTACGCAGTTGGGGCGTGGAGGTGCGGGAGAGGGGAGGTGCAGCACGAAGGGGGAGAGAGGAAACGCTTGGCGCTAAGCGACAAACGAAGGGAGACAAAAGACGTGCGGGCGATTTTCCGCTCGACCTGGGAGTCTCTGTCCCGCTACAGTGGCCACCTGTTCTGCTGCGTCACACCTGAAAATCTGGATGGGGGTTGTTGAGGGCATCAGTACGAGTGGGTTGGGTAGGCGGAGTGGGGGAAGCGCAGGTGTTCGGAGGTCAAAGAAAAGACAAACTTTCACCTGAAACGTCTGGGTTTCGGACTTTTGATGGGTCTTTTTCGTCAAGGTTGGCATACGTTCTCACTGTGGTTCGTTAAACTCGTTCGTTAGATTAGGCGACTTGATAAGCGAAGAGAAGTAGGTTACAAGTGAATGAATGGACGCCAAACACGACGCAAGACGACAGGGAGCAAACAAACACCAGCCCACTCACCCCAGCCTCTTGAGCTGTCGCTTTACAAGGCAGTCACGAAATTCGTACTGTCAACTACAGATAGTCAATGTACAGCTGCAAACGTCAAGGAGGGAGGCACCAACTAAATATGGAATGGAGCTTCACATTACACAAATCGTCCATAAATTTGTTATTCAATACAGTACAGCACATCTTATTCAACATCTAACACTAGCTCATGAATGAGTCGAATATCATGACTATACCAGAACGAAGATGTGTTTCTGTTGGGAATATAAACGCATGACTTAGTGCGTTTCTGTAGTATCGAACCTCACCCGATACTGAAGCACAACAAAAGGGATATGAAGTCGAAAAGGCGCGTACCACATCAAACCGCAACTGGAGGTTGCGAGCTGTAACCGCCTGGAGGTTACGTAACAGCAAGCGACGCTTCAGTGAACAGTAACCGCCTCGATAGTCGAAGGGTTACGCGTCTCGATAAACATAACCGCTTCTTGTAATCTATCTTTCCTATATATTCCTGTATGCACTTTGCCTTAATCAATTACTTGTTCTCACACACCAGCACAAGTACATTCACTCAAGCCTTCCGCTGTGCTACTCTAGCACCTACTAGCCTATTCTCTGCAAAGATCCTAAGGCTGAAATTGTCAGCCCAATATGGTATGAGAGCAGTCAGAGAACAAGGCTCTCGTCACTAAGCCTCTCTCAGGCTTCCAATCTGCAAGCAAACAAGAAGTTCAACCTTCATTCAAGAAAGGCAAGACATGGCAAGTGGCAAAGAAAGAAGGTCATCTACGGGATCTACTCTAACCCCGGTCTCCGAGTTGCAGACCGAAGGAGGAACAACGCCCGGATTAACGACGGAACGATCTACTCAAGCGCCAGTAGCGCCGCCAACAAGCTTCGACCCAAGCTTAATGGAGCAATTCTTCAGCTTCATGTCGCAGCAGCAGTCCTCACAACCTGCAAACAGCAGCAGCGTAAACAACGGAGCAGCACCAACGAGTATTGACAACTCATCGTTCGGACGACACAATCAACAAACACCAAATTCAGTCTCACCTGGTTCCTTCACGTTTATGCCGCCTCGCCATCCAGCGACTCCTCTTCCCGCCATCAAACGAGACGCTGAAGAAGTCCTGCAAGTACAAGCACAGTTCAACAACATCCTGCGACTGCACACATCCACACCATTCAACGGGAAAGACTTCTATTTGTGGAGCTTCGAGTTTGAACTTCTGATGGAAGGCACGAATCTTCTTGGATTCTTCAACAGTACCTGGCCATATCCACACAACGGCGAAGACAAAGACAAGGAAAATTATACTTATCACTCTCTGATGGCCTACACCGTACTTCTTCGAAACCTGTCGCCGAACGAGCAGCAAAGCATCCGCGCCTACCGGAACTACGCAAACTCCGCGGAACTCGCCTATCAACATCTGCGAAGCATTCATCAAGCATCCGACAGCGTTACACAAAGCAGACTCATGGCACAACTGACAACAGTTCAAATGCAACCTGGAGAAAAGGCCATGCCTTACATCAGTAGTTGTCAAGGACTACGCGACAGACTCATTCGCTGCGGAGGAAACTTATCTGAAGAAGCGTTTGTAACCGTCGTTCTCGCCGGCCTTGGACCCCAATGGCGCACCACCTGCTCACTCCTTCGCGCTCACGGTCGACTCTTCGAGATGCATCTCTGCGCCGAACTTCACGCCGAGCAACAGGAAATGGAACTATTCGAAGAACGCAACAACAAAAGGCATCATCAACCAGTCGTTCTTTACACCAATCGACGACAGCCACGTTACCAAAATCGAAGACACGTACCTCCTTATTGTCATCTGTGTCGGACATCAGGACATACACGCTTCAACTGCCCTCAGCAACAACGACAACCAGCACCATTCTCTCGTCCTCTGCGACCAGCGCCTCCTCACATCGCGTCAACTCAACAACGTCCCGCGACCGCCTCAACGACTACTTCAACGCGACCATCAACTTCCACTTCGGGACCTGCACAGACATCAAGAATCGTCGCCATGGCACGAACAATAGAGTCAAACATCGACTCGTGCATTACCAGCTCACCACCGACTTACAGTCCCGACGAGCGACCGTCACCACCACCGTCATCCCTTAATGTGAATCCAACGTACGCCGCCATCGCAAATAGTGCACCCACCGGACCAGACACATGGTTCCTCGACAACTGTTGCGGTCACCACATGTGCCCTTCATCACGGTTTCTTCAGCGCGAACGACGTCTTCCGCGAGATGTCATCATCACCGTCGCCAACAACGAAAACCTGCGCACCAACAAACAAGGAGTCGTGGAGCTTCAGTCAAATGAAACAAATGTGATTCTTCAACTAAACAAAGTACTCGTCGTCGACAACCTCGGCTTCAACTTACTGAGCGTCAGCCAGCTCATGTCGAAAGGCGTTCACCTGGAGTGCGACTCCGACGCCCTGGAAATTCGTCTTTACCACGAAAAAAGGGGGGGTCTTCATCGGCCGCGCAATTCAACAAGACGACGTCTTCGTCCTTGATTTCGTCCCCGACAAAGGCACCACCGACAGTGACGGCATAGTCGCCCTCGCACCTTGGACACACCCGCCAGATCTTGACCCGAATTTCAGTCCCGAAGGTTTTTGGTACTCCCGTAACATTCTCGAAGCTGAACGCACCAACGCGCTTGCCGTCCTGCAAACACAAGCAACAACACATGAGTCAGCACCCGTCATCAAAACAACAACTACACCCGACACAGCACCAACAACCACCGAACCTGCAGTTGAAGAACCAACCGTCGTCGTGGAACCACCTTCCGAAACCCCACAGCCCGGTCCCTCCGCCGCGCCACCACCTCTCATCATCGACACGCCACCGACAGCCGCCCAACAGTTAACGCCAGCACCACGCGCCGTTCATCGAAGTGCAGCAACACACGCCGCCTTCTTCGCCAACGCAGACTTCTATCAACGCTCCGTCGGTCACAGCGCCTCCGAAGATATATGGCATCAACGTCTTGGACATCCTGGAAACAAGACACTCTATAACACAATACGAGCCGGAGTGTTAGACAAGAACGCCCTACTTCTTCCCAACGGACGTGAACTCGAACGACCACGCGGCACTTGCTTCATCTGCCCGGAAGCGGATCTGCCTCACCAACCGTTCCCGTCACATCACAACCCGAGCGCCCCCGTTTATCAACCACTCGAGAAAGTCTACAGCGACATCCTATACATACCTCGAATCGAAGGACGTGAAGATCTGAACTACGTCATCACCTTCATCGACGCCGCAACACGTTACGTCTGGCACGTCAACTTACCGTCAAGAGATATGGCCCTAGAAGCCTTCACAGCCTGGCTACTGTCAGAATATATTTGCTGTCTAGCCTGCAGTGGGGTACTCTGTAATGAGTACAACCCAATTTAGGGCATTGTACTTGTATCCCAACCCTTCCTAGTGAAACCACTTCTCTTGCAATTTTTCTCGACTTACCTAAACCCTCTCGAACTCGATCACCTAGGCACATAAACTATGGCTTCTAAGCCTACCTTTGCTTAAGATTCTGAGATGGTATTAGAGCTTAACGCTCCTGGCCTGTGGGCCCACTCGATTCCGCTGCCCTATTGTGTGTCGTGCGCCCCGTGGCGCACGACCACCTTTTTTTCTTCCCGCCACGCGCTCGGGGCGCGTGGCGGTTTTCTGCCCGCCGTGCGCCCCAAAGCGCGCGGCGGGTACCTACCTCGTCGCGGCGTCTTGGGAGCCCGCGCGCTGGCCCCGACCGTCGCCTCGTCGCGGCGTTTTGGGGGCCCGCACGCAGGTCCCTCCCGTCGCCTCATCGCGGCACTTTCTGGGCTCGCGAGCCGGCCCCTCCCGTTGCCTCGTCGCGGCGCCTTAGGGGCCTGCGCGCGGTCCCCTCTCGTCGCCCGTCGCTGCACTTTCGGGGACCTGCGCGGCTCCCTAGCACGTCACCCTTCAGGGCACAATGGGGGCCGCGCCCTTCCCCTCCCCTCCGTCCTACTTTCCGCTGCAGCAGCACCAGCAGCTGCAGCCCCTGAAACGGCCACCGCAGCAGCAGCAGCTCCAGGAGCCGCCGCCCCAGCAGCAGCCCCTGGGGCCGCCCCAGTAGCAGCAGCCCCGGGAGCAGCCGCCCCAGCAGCTGCTGCCTCTGGAGCGGCCACCCCAGCAGCAGCAGCTTGTGGAGCAGCCGCCCCAGCAGCAGCAGCCCCGGGAGCAGCCGCCCCAGCAGCAGCAGCCCCTGGAGCCGCCCCAGCAGCAGCAGCCCCGGGAGCAGCCGCCCCAGCAGCAGCAGCCCCGGGAGCAGCCGCCCAAGCAGCAGCCAATGGA